TTGTCTATTTCATCTCTTATATAATCTACCAAGCTTTTAGTAATTCATTAATATAAATAAGTCTAGTGAACGAAATTATGAATCATATATATCAAAATATTTCTATATTCATTCGTCAAAATTTAATTTATAATAATCAATAAATCAATAACTATATCAGTATGTCTCTCTTAACTCCTAACAATAAAGGAATAAAAACTAAAATACAAAAAAATAAAATAAACCTGAATCCTAATCTGCCTCACTCCACTAAATCCTAGCTCCTTCATAAAAAATATATAAAAATCACATTATGAGCTAACAATTCAATATGTACCATAACCAATAATTACAATCAATGCACGATAGTAGAAATAATATTCATGTAATCATTCAATCCATAAAAATCTAATTATGTAGCAGTAAGAACAAATAGAAATCAATATGAATAATGCTATTCATAATTAATAATCAATGGTCATTGTTAAGTGTAAATTTTGTACTATTTATTATATTAAAAATCAATAAAATATATATTGTTTTTATTGTGTTTGTGCAACAAAAATTTAAGAAAATATAAAATTTACAAGTATTTAACAGTGTTGTAGTGCCCACATGTATAGCGTTGTAGTGTGGACATCTACAACACCTATAATCTAGTTTTAATATTGCAATGCTAGGCTCTCTAGAATTTTAGAAAAAGTTGGTGCCCCAGTAGAGCCAAGGTTAGCGTTGCAGTGCCTCACAGTGTCGTTGCACCAGAAATCAGCACCACAACACTGGAGCACCGATCATCAGAATGTCGTAGCACCCTCAACTTTTGCAGTGCCTCGGTGAAACAGTTATCAAAATAAGTTGTACCGTCTCAACCAATATATGTGTCAATATAACCATTAATCGTGCCAAGTCAGCCTAGTGTCGCAATGGAGCAAGCCTAATAGCATCTAGACGCTAATTCATTTATCAACATTGTAATGATAACTTGTCGAGTTCCATGACATCTAAATCCTTTTTTGCACTTTTATAAATAGTTTTTAGTACTTTTGCTGAAGAGTACTGTAATTTTAGTGGAGTCTTATACATTATAATATCTTATTATAGTTTTCCCTATAATAAAGTCTAAGGGAGGCTAGGAAAGTGCAAGATACTTTCATTTAGGAGATATGAGCTTCTATTATATTAGCAATTCTATTGTGTGAAGAAGAAGTGTGGAAAATATCAATTGATCATTCTGGGTAACATTTATCTTAATCATTATTTTGTATCTTTTTTTATGAATGAAATGAACATGATTTTACTTCCTTTATTATCCACGTCTAGCTAAATCTCTAAGTTTTGGGCTAATTTTGTAAACATATAGTACTGATATAGAATTTTGTGCTTTAAATTATTTCATATATGTTTTCAATATCTCTAATTCTTCATTTAATACATATATACATAGTTAATATCTAGTGTGATATATAGCCTTGGCAAAGAAATATTAGAATAAATAGGAATATTGAAATGGAATATTGGTATACTTCAATATAAAAGTTCGATAAGGAAGTTAAGCCTAAGTGAATTGTCCCTATGTACACAAATGTGAAAGCAATATTATATTTTAATGCGGAATCTAATAAACTTTTCAAGAGTTATAATATCAATTATGACAATTTAATCAACACAACGTACTATCAATCATAGATTTTTATCAAGAAATTATCACAAAAATAAATCTATCATGCAATCTTAGCAAATAAAAAATTGCATAAAAGTAAAATGTGGAAAATAAGAAATCATAATAAACACACAAGACTTTTATAGTGGTTTGATCAAAACATGACCTACGTCCACCCCCCACGGAGACCTCCTCTTTGGGTATTGCACTATCACTATAGTGTCTCTTATTTATTCCCCACAACAAGGCAGAGAAGCTCATACAAAATCTCTTCCACCAACCTGATGCGGTAGAGGACCATAATCCTTTTCACCCTCCCAGTGAGGCAGAGAATCTAGAATCATTTTCACCCTCCTAGTGAGATGGAGAACCTGAAATCACTTTCACCTTCCCTAGTACGGCGGAGTAGCCAGGTCCTTTGACACCAAAGAGGTCTTCTTCCCAAAGCTTACCTTAAGGCAAACCTTGACACATTGAAGAACTCAAGTGCAAGTTCGCCTGAACAACCGTGTGATACTCTCTCTCGTACTCTCTCTCTCTCTCTCTCTCTCTCTCTCTCTCTCTCAATAATGTTAAAAAGTCTTTTTAATATAATAAACTTCTAGCTCTTGGCTTCCTTATTTCATTTGTGAACTGGATTAAAGCTTGCACCAACTAGGTTCCCTTTTTTGTAATTATTAATGGTGACCTAAATGATTTTTCCAAGTCCAAAAAAGGTTTGGGATAGGGATGCGATGATTGCATATATCGTAATTTTAAAACTTTGTATTAAATTAGTTTTAAGTTAATGAAAATCCATGTTTGAATGTAAGATCATATTTTATGTTAATTTTCTAAGACCTATGTATGATAAATTGGAATTTAAATGAGAATACCAAGTGTAGGAAAATCCTTTGGAACTCTATGTTTCTAGTAGAAAAAATAGATTTTAGATGGGCACTTCAACACTATAGGGAGAAGCGATAGGTGTTATAGCTATGTTGAGTAGAGTTGCGGTGCTAATCACTAGTGAATATTTAATTAAATATCTAAATTGATAATGGGTCTGCATTATTGCGCTCAAGGGTAGTTGTGTTGTGTCATTAGTTCAAAAAATAAATATTTATATAAGTATCCCAAAGCATTTTCTAAAATCAAAAACCAAATCCTTTGGCTGGCTAGAAGAGAGGAGAAGAGGAGAGAGAGAAAAGAGAAAGAAAATTTGGGATTTTGGGGACCATGAAGTAACTTTCGTCCCTCATGCTAGTTGAGAATATTGTCCGTCTCAAGGTAGGATACAATTATTGTACTTTAATTTTCAATTTATCTGTTTTGTTGAGTTAGAAATTAAGAAAAAGTAAAGTTAGAAGGTTTGGGAAAGTTCTCACCTCATAGCACTTGATATGTTATAGTGCATAACATTCTAGGCATTTTGACAAAAAAAGTATGAAATTTCATTGGTTAATTTATTTTGTATGGAATTTTAATTTTTATGAATAAATGTAGGCATTTTTAGAAACAGTTGAAATACACTATAAGATTCAAAATGATGTTTGTTATATGCTTTTTGCAATACAAAATGTGAAAAGTTGGGGACAAAAGAGGTGAATATATGGCCTTTGTTATATGCTTTGTGCGATACAAAAGAAGTTAGAAAGGCTTGTGTGTTTATTTTATCTATCTTAAATAAACATAACATATCAAGTAGACGTATAGGTGAAAGTAGAGAAATAAGAGGAATCGGGTTAATATGATCAAGTAGCCGTGCACATTATCATAATTTTCAGTAGCCTGTGATTGTGTTTAGAAAGCTAACCTTGCAATTAAATTTATCAATAAAAGTATTATTTCTTAATAACAATCCAAACTCTTAATCATCAAAATATTATCCGCATTGGCATAATAGCCTCATAATTTTCCCTTTTGGATAACTTCTAAGGATGTAACTCATCCCAAAAATATTCTTGTATGAACATACTTAACTTTGAAGTGTTTCTTATAAAACTCCAATTATTACATAAAAGCTTTAATATTGAAGAAATTAATCGCATTCCACTTGAGAGTTTTCATATCACCTTTACCCTTGCAAGTAATTAAATTGCCTTCCATATTTTAAGGGGGTCCATTAGATGATTTTGGCTTCATTTACATATTTAATACCTAAAATTTACCATTTGCATAATAAAATACTTATTAACAAAGCTAATGAAACTCTTGATGACAAAGAGGAAGTCACAATGAATCTTTCCATACATAAGGGCTTTGAGATAGGATTTTGCTGAGGAGCTTCAAGTATCGTCCTACTTCCCGGCTACTACAGCTTACAACGCCGCCCATGAGTGAAACATTGAATATTCATCAGTAAATTCATCAGCAAAACTAGTGGTGTTCGAAGGATAGAGGTGGGGATGAGTTCGGTGGCTTGCAAAGCTTGATGACAATAAAATCATGACGATATATCAACTGCGTGCTAGGTTTTGATGATTTTAAATTTTATTTTTATTGTTATTTAAATGTTTTAATTGTTATGTGAATAAATTATGAAATTTTAATGTCAATATACATAAAATAAATTTATTTGGAATGTTATGTATAGGGTGTCAAAACCTGACACAACCCGAAACCCGACCCAAAAAATTCCGAGTTCGGATAAACCCGTTTTTCATACGGGTTCGAGTTTGTAATTCTAACACGTTTGTAAAACCGTGTAGGGTTAGGGTTGACCCAAAACCAACCCGGATTGACCCGTTTTCATCATTCCACATGAGACTGTCGCGTCAAGCCGTCAGGCGTCAGGTCTGCTGTCGTCGCCAAGTTGCATCACATCATCTGCAGTGCTCACTGTCGCTGCGGCCTTCTTGTCCATTGCGTGTAGCTGCCATCTATCCCGCATGCGCTGCCACTGCCTTCCCATGTGTTGCCGCTGTTGTCACACCCGCGGCTGAGCACTGGCTCTCGTAGTTTGTAGCGTTGTCAAGAGTCAAGACGACAAGACCAATTGGTGGACCGCTCCGCAGTCTCCGCTGTCGCGTGATTTCTAGCCATGATGTGTCAGGTCGGGTCAACCCGATAACCCGCACGAGTAGGGTCCGGATTGAAAAACCTGACCCGTTTACAAAATCGAGTCAAGTTAGTGTCAACCCATTTGCAGCCGGATCAAGTCGGGTTCAACCCCAACCTAATCCGCTGATCCGAATTGACACCCTAGTTATGTACGTAAATATATCCTAAATTAATAAAAACTTTTAAAATAACTTTTTTGGAATGGCCCAATAAATTAAAAAATAAAAAGCGTGTCATGTAGGGTAAAGCACATGTCATCATTTAATAGCGAAGGTGCTCCGAAGTTCGAAGCTGTTGACAGGCGAGACGAATAATAGGGCAGGTTGCGAAGCAACGGAGAAGCTGCACCGTGAGTTCGTCGGCTCGATATAAATCGAAGGAAGGATGAAAAAATATCAAACCCAAACAAGATGACAAACTCGCAGCAAATCTCGGCTTCAGCAAAGAATACGGGCGACGACGACTCCTACACCTTAACTTTCACAATCACCATTCTGTTCATCATTGGTAATGCCGTGGCATCAACATACCGCGCGCGCGGCGATCCATGGACTTTCGGCTTCGCGGTTTTTGCCTACGGGACGCTGCTGGCTCTGCTGACCTGCGTCCGCTTGTTGGAGAAGCGAGAGGCTGCGGGGCAGAAGACGGGGGGGTTAAAGACCGCGGTTTGGGTGCTGGCCTCTGTGCTTACCGTGAGCTTCGTCTGGCGGGTGGTGCAAATTCTGCTCCTCTGATCTTGTAAAGCTCGCCGGCTGAAGCTGCGGTTGATGGGGAAGAGAATGACAAGAAAAAGGTCAAGTCTTGCTATATAAGTATCGATGTCAGCGTAGGTTTTTACGGTTTACCTAGGGTTTAAGAGTCTGTCAGCTAGATCCGCTGTTGTATAGAATGACTAACCTACTTAATAAGATGTTTCTAATGGAATCTTTGCATAAGTGTTGGTTTAAGCGTTATTAGATCTCCAATCTAATTATTGGGAAGCTTTTTCATAATTTTTTTTTAATTATTATGTTTCTATTTGATTGTAATTTTATTCTAAGGCTGTGGCAATATTTTGAAGTGCAAAATAATAAAGAAGTGCTCCAACGGACCCAAATTCAGATCAGCCAACGCAAAAAGCAGTGGAAAAAAAAACTATGGGTAAAAGGAATGTAGTAATCTGAAATGCTTATTTTCTGTTAAAAAAAATATAGTGAAAGAAAAGTCAGATTCATCACAAACCACAGCATGATCATAGTGTTGGAGTAGCATGTTGTCTTATTACTGCGCTTAAAATGAAGAAAGGTTATCTGATCTTCCAAAAAAAACAGAAATGTCAGCTAGAAATAACATATCTAAAGAAAAAGCCATAGCTGTCAAGAGCACAAGTGGTAAAAGTAGTACTTTTCTTATATAACGTATAAAGAATGATCAAAATTACAGTTTCATAATTGGAGCAAAAAATAACATAATCGATCAAATGTCAACCAGACGATGGCAAAAGTAGCTCAAAGCAAACGAGAAATCATTAGTAGTGGATTTCATGCATAGTTATATGGAAATAATGAGAGTACACAATTACTTACTCACTATATGCTCTATTTTTTTTTTTTTAAGTAGTGAGTACTCCAATACTCCGCACATACATAAAAGATAATGTACGTAGTCGGCACCTAATTATTTCTCCAAGCTAACAGGAGCATCCTCTTCCAGGCTCTGGTTCTAAAATAGGTTCTGGGATGTTCTGGAAATATCTGCAAGCACGATCATTAACATTTCATAGTTCAGTTCATAATTTCACCACATTTACAGATGAACACACATCTTACCTTTTACTTTTTAACTAACAAGAATGAAAACCGAAAATAGAAATGTAGTCAGGAATTGGACAGAGTAGTATTATTGATTGGTTCTAGTAAAGCATGTAGTTATTTTGTTATTTATTCCATCAACAATCTGAATCAACATAGTAATCTGTTTATAAACCATGATTCGCATAACCGGCCTTACCTTAATCTTTCAATGATAAGATTAAAAAAAAAATGTCTCTACACCTTTCTCATGATGGATCCATCGTTCATATGAAAAATTACAGCAAAAGTTCCCTCTATTACATGGTACAACCATTTCCTTGTCCAAATATACCTGATAACAACCAGATAAATCAGTGGTTCAACTCTATAGTTTATATATGCTATGAAATGTTTAAAATTATTCTACCTTCATTTGCCACTGCACTATAGGCAAATCATTCTTTAAATTAACCAAAATCTAAAGCTAATGCAGTATATACTCTATACCAAAGCATTAAAGCATTTGCTTTTTAAGTTACATAATATATTGATTTCAATACGGTATCGTCCTCCTACAGATAGCGCTCCTACAGGAGCAAATAAAAGTGGTTTGTTAACAGTGCAAGATGATGTTATTTTAGATCAATCCAGCACTCTATGAACCACAAATGAATTGTAGCATTGATTTCACTCTTAAATAAGTTCACGGATAAAAGAAAAAGATTCGGATGACTGAAACAGCAAATATTCAGTGGCTTGTAGTTCTAAATCATAAGTAGGATAAAAGGAAACATGAGAATAAAAAAAAAAACTCAGTTATTTTGCTGACGAAATAGTTGGGATAAGGGAAATGATTATGAAGATAGTCAGTAACTGTAGAAAAAATAATCCACAGTTGCTAGTCGGCAACTGGAGCCTGGCTGGTTTCATCTGTCATGTTTATCTTAAGTGAAGTATTTATCTTAAGTGAACGCTGATACAAGATTATATCTTTCAGACCCAATCATCAAACTTTCGGAAACCTAACTGGGTTCTCCAAAAACCGCATCTATATCTCCATATGCAGAGAAACATTAATTGTTTTTCAAAAAATTTTGATCCTTATATTACAATTTAAAAGTGCATAAAAATTAAATCCCAAATAGCTAGTTGGCAACCAAATCATCAAACTCAGGGCATCCTAAATGGGTCTCCAAAAATCGTATCTATATTAACATATATGCAGAGAACAATTAAAATCTTTTGTATTGATTGATATGTGCATATATTAATCAGAAGCAAGATTTAAAAAGGCAAAATTGAAAATCAAGGCATTTTGCTTTAGCGAGGCAAGGCTTAAGCCTCGAGGCGGATTAAGAAGTAAGCCTCAAAACAGAAAAATAAAAAACACAAACTTGCAAATAATTCATAAAAATGAAATAAAAATAAAAGATCAATAATATTTATTTGACTCATCATCATAAAGATATAAATTACAAATTTGAATATTAAATGTTATTATAAAATGAAAGTTTGAAATAAGATTCAAAATGAACACTTATTTAAAACTTAAATACACCATAAATATTAGAATTCATGGCAACCTCATCCTTATTTTCATATTATTCATAATTGCCCTCATGTGCAATGATATCATCCTTGAATTCTATCTCATTGTCATCTTTTAAACCTTCTTCAATTATAATATTTTTTTAACTCCTCATACTAATTAACATTGGATTCAATGTAATGTAAAATAAAACAACAAATTAACAACACAACAAAGTAATCCATTATATTTAAATCATCAATTTAATATTTTTTTAAGCTTAAACTCCACTTTGCTACTTTCTTTAAATTAATTGAAGCATAAGTTATTATAAATTCAATAGTCATTTTAATATTAGTATTGATATCTTCATTCTCCTCATCATCAAACGCATTACTCCATTTTTAATTTTAAAAATTTCACAACTTTTTGCTATTAGTCATTAATCATTAGAAACTATATAATTAATAACAAATTATTTATTTTAACATTACCAGTTATTCGCCTCTATAATTTGAAATGTTTATCTTTCAAATATTTATTAAACATAACACAACAATTCAACCTTGTTCAGTTAATTGGTTAATTCTCTTCGTAAAATAGAATAATATATATATTATTAATAATAATATATAATAATAATTACAAAACTTAACTAAAATGAGATGCAGCCTAAAAAAGACAGGCCTCACTAGAACTAGAAAGGCTTAGGCCTCAATATGTTGATTATGTGCCTAAATTCGAGGCACGCCTCGAGGCTTTTGCCTCATACAATTTTTTAAACCATGCTCAGAAGTGCATACAATTGCAAAGTTGGCAACTTGAGGTACATGCGGAAAAGTTTAAAAATATCCAAAAATGACCCCTATATTGTAGGAGTTGTCGAGCGAGCCAAATCTCAAAACTTGCCCACATATAAGTTGCCCGCACATCAGTTGACAGTATACAAATCGAGATGCACGAGAAACTAGAAATTGCTTGAGATGTCAATTCACATTTTCTTTTTTCATGTTATTTTAATTAAGTTTATAAAATAAAATCATATATATATATATATATATATAACATAAAAGAATTAGCCTGAGAATGTTGTATTTGTTAAAATAAAATACAAATTTAAATTCCATTCACCTCAAAAATATAGAATATCATATGTTGATGTAAGAAATCATGTAAGTGCACCGTGCATATATAATTCCCACTTGTACATTAAATAGAGTACATGTTGACCCTAATAGAACCTAATAAGAATTTTCGATATGATTGGCTTATTTGATGTTTGGGGATTTAAAAAGAGACTTAAAAATTGAATTTAGAATAATTTTTTGGTAAGTACAGACTTGCAAGTATTTACAATGTTGGTATAGGGAGTGCATGATGAAAGAAAATTTAAGGCTCTTAGGAGCGTTGTGGCGCTACCTTATCTATTTTGGGGGATAGCGCTTGGGAGCATTGAGCTGTTGGGGTTGCAACGTTGTGACACTGAAGATGGGTTAAGAAAAGTATCCAAAGAATGAGAATACTTGGAAGCACAGCAGTGCTGAGTAATGTAGCACCACGACACTATCCACTTTTCATAATTTTTATATAAATATTTAAACACACCTCCCCGAAGCCCCATACCCATTTAATTTGGTTATGAGAGAAGAGAAGAAAAACATGAAGGAGAAGAAAGGGGAGAAGAGAGGATAAAGAAGACAGAGGAAGAGGAGTTCGAGGTCGTAGAGCAGGTTTATGTATATAGAGTAAATTAGGAAAAGTGTCCCTCTTCAAGTAGGTGACCATTACCTAGGTTTATTTTCAATTGTTTGAATTTAATAGGATTTATGGGTTTTAATTTAGAACAAATAGGTAAAAAATATGAAATCATGATTTCTAATAAAATTTCACCATATAACTTTTAATATATTGTAAATTTGATCATTATGCACATCCTGACATAATCATATTGATATTTTACCAGTATTTTTGTAGTTGGTGCATAAGAAAAATAAGATAAATATGCATACAAAATTAATATATTACTAATGTATTAAGATCTAGCAAAATGATTTGTATGCATACAAGATTGGCATGGTATACATATACAGTGATAGGACATACATAATTGATATGATATAAATTAATTGGCTATAACTTGTATATCTGTAATGATTTAATGAATAAATAAGCATATAGGATTCGTAAGTGATTAGCTAAACCTGAATTAGAGTGAAGAACTAGCCGTCTGCTTGTTGCCAAACCAACCCTGTTCTATAAAAATGAGCATAATGCTTTGGTTATTAAATATTATTACTATGATTTACATGATATTTACTATGTATACAAAATATGATATGCATGTATATCAATTGTGAATTGTGTACATACAAGAAAGAATGGTTATTGAATTAGATTGATTCAAATTGGTAGAGATATGAAATGATACCTTGCACAAGAGGATGGACCAACATACTTTCTTTAAAAATAAATAAAATACATGATATGATGGGAGGCTCAATGGTAGAGGCGTCAATATTTGACCTGAGCTTAAACCTGACCTGAATCCGACCTGAAAAATTCCGGGTTAGAGTAAACCTATTTGCCAGGGGTCAAGTTTGGGATTCAAGATTTTAACCCGTTTCTAAAACTGAGTCTGGTTCAAGTTGACCTGAAAACCCAAAGATGACCCGAATGCAACCCGGGTGGGTGACCACTAGTTGTTCTCTTCTCGATTCCACACCCCTCACTCAACCGCGCTAACGTCGCACCTAGCACGCCCGACCGCTTGCACTCACACCGCTCCCACGTGGCACCCAACCACACTCTGCTGGCACAGAGCACACTCGCACGTACACCTCGCACCCTGCACTCGCTCTTGTGTCGTGCACCTGGCCCTTGCCCCTCGCCCCCACACGTCGTGCACCTCGCACCTGCCCTTCTTGGAACCCGTGTTAGCGGGTCAGGTTGGGTTCGGGTCTAAATTCCTGACCCATATAGCTAATCGGGTCGGGTTCGAGTCGGATTAGTTGAACATGGGTCAATTTCAAGTTGGACCCGAACCCGACCAAAAAATCCCTTTAACACCCTTATATAAAGGAATATGAAATGATTGATGGAAGTGATGATTCCTATATTAAGCCACTGATAATGATTGAGATGTTAAGCTATAAAACGACTAATACTATATAGTATGTGATAACATACAACCTGATATGATATGATTAACCAAAATCCCGATTTACTAGTAATACATATGGATTAATGATGCATCAATAAGATATCACTACTGATATGATATGGACCGATATATTAATATAGAGAATGCACTTGGTGATTGACATATAATTATTGTGTGAATTATATTTTTCTTGCGATTGATAAATACATGATGATACCATATAATACATAAGACTAGTGTGCATAATAATGACATATGATAACACATGACAATTCTAATAGTTCTATTTTGCATATTGTGATCACATACAAAATATCATCACATGTCAATGTTCTATCATGCATGATAATGATCTCAACAACAACAACAACATCAAGCCTTTGTCCAACTACGTGGGGTCGGCTACATGAATCCTTTTTCATCATTGTATCATGTTAAAAGTCAAATTCTCATTTAAATCTAATAAAGAAAAATCATTTCTAATATTTTCCAATCAAGTCTTTTTAGGTCTACCTATGCCTTTCTTAACATAAGTCAAATGACTCAAATCTAATACCTCAACTTTCCAAACCGGGTCATCGGAAGGACTCCGTTTAATGTGATCAAACCATCTAAGGCGACTTTCTTTAATCTTATCTTCCACTAGAGCTACTCCAACATTTTC